GAATAAGAGCCACCAGACGGAGCTTCCTCCCAAGCCCATATTTCCACATCATCCTGAGTGCTTGCCCACCATGCCACATGCTGTCCCARCACTCGGTAAACCCTGGCTACAGAGGAAGTCCAGTGGAGCCGAGGCCCCTTCCTCTGCCCCAGCCTTCAGCCATACACAGGATGTGGGAATTCGAATCCAGCAGACTAGCTAATAGGAACCAGTACCTAGGCCCTGGCTCATTAAGGATTTATAGTACACCCTGTTGCACTCAGGGCTCAAAAGCAGTATTATTAGCTACTCGTTTGCTCTTTGTGGATAAATGTCCCTCATCTTCTGTTTTATACATGAGTACATTAAAACCAAGTAGAAGGTTTGTGACTACATTGGGAATCACAGCATGTTGAGGTCAGAAACTAAGAACCCACATCTAGGCCCAGGGTCTCAACAATGGTGACAAACCCTATTTTGGTGAAACCACTTCCTTTTTTTTTTTTAAGCCACTGAGCATCCCCAGTCCTTTTTATTTTGTGACAGGGTCTTGTTAAGTTACAAAGGGTCTCACTGAGTTGCCCAGGCTGGCCTTGAACTTGAGGTCCTCCTGCTTCAGCCTCCTCAGTTGCTGGGATTGCAGGTGTGCGCCACTACACCCAGCAACTCCCTGATGATTCCTCTAAGTTTCTTTTCTATGCAAGCCCAAATCATTGAGGCTGTTCTTAATCATGATTATTGTTGTTTCTTAGTCCTTGATCGAAAGCTACTGAATAGTGAGGTGATTGCAATGTGGGAAATTAGAGGAAGTCAAGTCTCCAAGAAAAGAAAGTAATACTTGTTATCATTTATGGTATAAAGAGAAGGCAAAGCCATTGTGTAGGGCTAAAACGATTTGGTTTTATACATCCTCCTTCCTTGCCAGACACATTGTTGCTCATTTGTGAAAATCATTCCACTTGTAAAGTTAACCACCCATTAGTGACTAGGAACTGTTCCCACTAATTGGTGGACTCAAGGGGAAAGCAACATAGTTAGAGGTTGGGGTAATGGACCAGGTGCCCTTGACTTCTATTTCTGGTTCCTTCACTAACTTGCTGTGTGGCCCTAGGCCATTTCCCCTCATTTCTCTGGGCCTCATTTTCCCCAAGAAAATTTCCCAGCCACTCTTCTGGAGGGATCCTAAATGATCAAAAACAAACAAACAAAAAATGACATCTGCAGAGCTTTTTTAAAGATGCCTAGATGAAGGCATTAGAATGGCCTTGATTTCGTAGGTTTTAATTAACAAATCCTTTGATTATTGATAGAACTACACAGTTGAGCTTTTAATTAGCTCCACAGGCATAATTGGCATAGGAGTGACACATAATCCTAAGGGAACTAGCCCAGGCCTAAGGATGATCATTATGAGTGTCCCATGGGTCTTTATGTGGAGCTGCAAAGCTCAGCGACATCTTTAAGTGGTGGCTGGCATATGATGGTTGCTTGGATAGCCAAGAAAAGGAGGCTCCCCTGGAGCGGCTCAGACGATGAGGGGCTGCCCTGGAACCAGCACAGTCAGAGCCGCCTTTCCTTGTCGGTAAGAGGGAGGCAGGATCAAGCATCCTTTGTTTGCTTATTGTTTTTGCTCTGCCAGCCACAGAGCAGAGTGTTGAGCAGACAGGGCCTCCGAACCATGGGCACAGGGCACATGAGCAGAAATACCCCAGGCCCCAGGAAGAGCCCAGTGACAGCTGCCCCTGGCCTCTAATAGCAGCTATCCCTGCCCTCTATCCCTGCTGTCTCCATACTTCAACTCACCAGTGTGCCCAGCTCCCCATCTCTGCCCCCTCCTCTAAGTGAGGAGAAAACGATCCTCAGCCACCCTTCTCATGCCCAGCGCAACAATGCCATCCTGAAAAACTACCCTGTCATTCATTCAYCTCACTCTCACCTCCCCCTCCCAATATTCCATTTGTAAGATTAAAAAAAAAAAAAAACACATCTATAAAGTGCTTAAAGCAGGGAAATCCATTGTGCTGCACCCTGTTACATTTGTTTCTACAGRCAGTACATCATCTTAGAGACATGCCTGGGAGTCAGAACTCCAGGTTTCACTGCTGAGAACAGCAGCCAGAGGCAGAAGCTGTCCCAGGGGCAGCCACAGTGGCCGCAGACAGAGGGGCTGCAGCAAGCCCAGATGGTTTTGTTTGGTCCCGTTGGCAGACGCAAGGATCTCCACGCTGAACAGCATGAGGGACCACTTAGAGCAAAGGCGTGGTCTGTGTTTTATTTTGCAAGGAGTGGGGGAAGGAGGGGTTGCCAGGGAACCAACCCTCCGAGCATTCTGCACTGGGTTCTTTATCTGGGGGCTTCAAATGAAAAGGCACAAGTGGGTTTTTCTCACATATGATCACTCCAGGTGTGGCTACCTTTTCTCYTTGTAGGGGATGGGAGAATCCAGCCTCCCTGGGTCCTCCTACTACCTTACCCCCGCCCCAACTGTGCTGCTGAGTCCTGGACAGAGCCTGTCAGCACCCCGGCACCAGCACCAGAGCCAGATCAGCTACATAATTGGCAAGGCCAGTGCAAGATGGAAATGAGGGCCCCCTTGATGAAAACTTATTAAGAATTTCAAGATGACAACAACATAGGATTCATCCAAGCACAGGGTCTTTCTGAGTGGGGGTCCTTCAGGTCACACACCCATGAAGCCAGTCCCATCCAAGATCCCACTTTGCCTGGTCAAGGTGGRTACAAGAGCATGGGCTGAGTGACCATCAGCCATCAATGATCCATCTCCCTTTTTTCAGAGGAAAGAGGACAGATAATAGGGTGAGAAAATAAATCTTTATACTTAAAAWTTTCCAGCTTTCAAATAATACAATTCCCCTTAAACCCCAAGTCAGGGGGCTTCATTAGGAAAATTTTTTAAAAGCCTGCAGTTATTTATTTGCCAGTATTGGGGGGAAGTGAGAACAACTAGGAATCAGCAAGATCCAGGTGTGGAGAGTACTTACTTTGTGCCAATACGGTGCTAAGGAGCTGCTGCAGCTAAGATCCATCTTGGGGGCCCTTTCTTGCCATTTTACGAATGGGGAAACTGAGGCTAAAGGAAAGGCCRCAACTTGCCCAAGGTCTAGCAACTTGGAAGTATGGGAGCAGATTCCAAATGTCTTAGTCAAATTTCAAAGCCTTGATGCCTGGCCTTGTCACTCTATGTGTGACCTGCAGGTGAAAAGGCCAATGTCATAGAACCTATTAGTTCTGGGCTTTTCTTTTTTTTTCTTTTTCTTTTTCTTTTTCTTTTTTTTTTTTTTTTTTTTTTTTTTGACTATGATGAAATTTGGGTGAAAACTCCATAAAAACCTAGCAACCAGGGATCAGAGAGAACTCTGGGTGTTTCTATTGAGGGATTCACAGTGGCAAAGCATCCAAGGAGAGCCCTTGGTGTGATATTTGAATAGTAAAGACACTGCTAAGGCAGGTGAACACAAAGCTGTCTGAGCCAGAGCATGGCTTTAGAGCCTCCTTCTTTCCTTCAAATGTCTCTCCATCCACTTGGAATTGAAATTGACCCTTGAAGAGAGAGAGAAGTATAGTTTCCTTGGGTTTCAGAGTACATTGCACTCTGAGCTGCTCATGGAAGAGGGAGCTCTGTAGGAAGAGGCAGTTGATGTCTCCCATCTTATTACCTACAGAGACAAAATAATTTTAAAATTTCAGAGAGGAGACTGTAAAGATAAAAGATGAACCCATCCTAGAAAACGGTTTTATACCAGCTCATCTCTATGTGGATGGTGAACCCACTGGCCAAGCACTGACCACCAGCATCCTGAGCCTGACTCAGGATCTGACAGGGTGATCTGATGCAGAGAAATGGCCCTCACATCCTYTAAGGTGGAGGAAACAGAGCAAGTCAGAATGGGCCAGGAGCCTCCAGTCAGAAGATTCTGGGTCTGGAATGAGACCTTAGAAAGCATATGTCCCAACTTAGTGGGCAGAAAAAGGGGGATCCCTGGGAAAAATCAGCCATCTCCAAGAGGAAGGATGARAACAGGATTTCTGCTCTATTTCAGCAAAATAAAGTCACATCCTAAGTTTATGGAAGGGGATACAACATCCGTCAATATAAATGCAAACATGTGGGCGCTTGACTTTATCCTCCTGACATTTCCCAGAGGGTGAAGCAACTTTCATTTTCATCCAGTGAAAGGAACCCCGTTCCTAGAGCAATTCCATGCAGCCCTAATTGCTTCCCAGCATTACCATCAGATTTCTAGTTAAGCGGAGCTCTCTGCTTCCTTCAGTTGCTGGAAGGGCTCTGGCTGCAGTGTCCCTCTAGGGATACAACTCTTGCTTTTCTTTGTGCCACCGAGAAAGAATGGGCATGGCAGTCTCATATTGTGATCTGGAGTCGCCTGCCCCTAACTAAGGTCCCGGCAGCCTCCGCCCTTTGCGAGCGCGTCGGAGGCTCTTGCACATTAGCGGGCAGGAAGTGGAGTCCCGATGGGAGGCTGGGAATTTGAACGCCTTCCCATTTCAGCACTTGAGGGGAGGAAGCGCGGCTCGGCACTGCACTCGGCAGGCACAGATGGCTCCCGCTCCCCTCTGAGCGCCCGGTGCTCTCTCGGCCTCCTCTCCCTCCCTCCTCTCTGCGCTCCCTTCCCCTCCCCCCCGTCCTTGGAGGGAAAAGTCTGCAGAGCTGGGAACTGTCTTGAGAATCCAACAAAGGCGAACCCAAGGGGAGCAAGTGGAAAAGAACTTGTTTTGTTCCCGTTTAGAAACCTGCAGGAAAATCCACACCCACGGTGCCTGGTTTTAAACGGAGAGCTGCTGTGTGTGTGTGTGTGTGTGTGTGTGTGTGTGTGTGTGTGTGTGTGTGTGGTTTCAGGCACCAGCGGAGGAGCACAAACAACTGCACCATCTCTGCTTTGATAAGGAAACTGCCAGCTGTGGAAAGTTAACCGGGCAAAGACGGGACAACAACGCTGGGAAGGCAGCGCTCCTAAGTTTAAACTGCACTGTTTTCTGTCCAGATATTCCAATGGAGGCAATTGGAAAACCTGTATTTCAGAGAAAAGAAGTTTTCTGTGGAAGTTCATGACCCCCGCAGGTAAGCTTGAAAAGCCCTTTTCAGCTGAATGCCTGACATATTATTTGTATTATTATTTTGGGGCTGTCATTGTTTGTGTTTAGTTTGGGGTGGGGGGAGAGGATGGTGAATCATGGAGAACAGGGTACAAATCAGAATGGAAAGCTTTATTGGTAAATGTGGTAGGTTCAAGCGCATGTGTGAGAGGATGTGTATGTATGTGTGAGAGAGAGAATGTGTGAAATTAGCAATTTCATGACTGTCTCGTCTGTGTGTGTGTGTGTGTGTGTGTGTGTGTGTTGCACACCACAGAGCTGGAGGGAAGCTTTGTGGCACTCTGTAACAAACACAGAGTTAAACCCCAGCAGTGGCCCAAGTCCCTTTAGGAAGCTTTTGCCAGAGAAGAGGCCGAAGGCACCCTTGTCAGAGCAGTTGAGAGTGAGTGGGTTCAGGCAGGACAATCAAAAGGAATCTGTCATTGAAGCAGTTGTGCTCAACTGTTTTATTCCAGGAGCTATAATTTTAGAATGTTAGCATTGTGGGCGGATATGAAAGAAATACAATTATTTCTCCCTCCACCCCACACTGTACCCCAGAGAGCACCAGGATAAAAGATCCTTGCTCCAAGGAGAAGCCAGACAATAAGGGCCCAGYAAGGACTGCAGTGAACTGGCCTACAAGGGGTCGGGGCAGCTCCTGCCCTCTGCTTTTTCTTTGTCTGCTGGCAGTCCTAAAGTTGCAGGCAGCCCATAAGCAGCAGTAGAATTTCCTAGAATCAGGCCCGACACATAAGAATAAATCACTTTACTCAAGTCTGAAAACCGGGACAACAAGAAGATAGCCCTGGGAAAGTAGGAAAGAGATCAGACACTAAGCGGATTTGAGGTGCTATTGACACCTAGCTCTGGACTCCAGAGGAGATGGCACCAGTCCCACCTCACACAGGGCTTCTGGCATAGGAGACAAGCTGCCCTCCGGACGCTGAGATGACGCCCATAGTGGGAGAGCTGAGGCTTGTGCAGTAGCCTGAGTTCCTGCTGCATGATAAGCCATCAGGACTCATGCACTGCTCACTTTGCCATTTAATCTGCTTGAAGCAGCCTCATGCATAGGTGAGAGCTTCTCCCTGCCCCACAGTTACTACAGTTCTAGAAGCTGGAAACCCTTCGAAAGCTTCCAAGTCTCTGCAGTCAGGTCAGATGTTATCATCAGCAGAAGGACAGCTTGTTCAGCATTTCGCAGGGTCCTGGGACTGGTTTCATGTTCTAAAACGCTCCTCTGCAGAGCACACATATGCATCTGTGCAGGCCAAGGAGGGAGCGATGGATACCAAAAATAGAATCCAGCCAAGAAGAAACGCACTATTATTTTTTCAGGTGAACTGTATTGGACCAGATTTCTAGGCAGATGAGAGGAGGGGAAACAAGTGTTAAAAAGGGCGAAATGAATTCTGCCACCGTGGGTCAGATGCAGAAAAAGGATGCTTGACAGTAAAAATTAAATAAAAATTGGATAATCTAAGGGGCTGTGCATAGGAGAGTGACAGATTCTCTATGCCAATGTTCTATTGGGAATTCTGCTAACTCAGGGTCACCTTGGACAAATCCATTAACCATGTGTGTGTTGGGGGGGGGCACACGTGTTCTCTCTACATCCATCATCCTATCAGTGATATAATACTAAATCCCCTTTCCAAAGTCCAAGGCTATCGGAAAGAGTSCAAACCTCACATATCACCATTAAGTGATCTTGAGCCTATTCAACAGAAGGGATCAATCCCATGTACATTGAGATGGGGTCCTCTTCCTTATAACTTCTGGCATAGTTGTGGGGACAGGCAGAAGAATGAATGGACACGACACATGAGGAGGTTATGGCATGTCTACATCCTCTCACTGCAACCCAGGAAGTAGGTCCTACTGTTGGTCTTGTTCTGTGTGAGAGGCACGGGAATGAAGTGACTTGCTCTGGTTACAATTTCAGTTCTAAAATACTATTTCAGTTCTAAGGTTACAAATAGCTACTATGTGGTACAGGCAGGGTTTGAACCAGGAAGTCTGGGGCCAAAGCTCATGTTCTTTTTGCTACATTATACACAAAGTAGGGGTGCCAAGTGCCAAATGGCACAGAACATAAATGCTGAATGAGGYTGATGATGAGGGCCCAGTTGCTCAGGAGAGCCTTCCTAAGGAGGGAGACCTGAGTGGAACCTGGAAGGGTAACTAATATGGAGGCCCTGAGGTGGGCCCATAGGAGGCTAAGGGGTCAGATGGATGTTCCTCAACTGAGAAAATGAGGTGAGAGAGGGAGGGCCTGGTATACACAGAAGAAGGAGGTAAAGGAGCCCAAAGGTAGCAGCCTGGGCTTGGAGTGTGAACTCTGGAAAAGTAGCCCAGAGTCCACTATGTTTTTCTAGAAGTGAGCAGGATGGCCAGGCATGGTGGCACATGCCTGTAATCCCAGTGGCTCAGGAGCCTGAGACAGGATGATCTTCAGTTCAAAGCCAGCCTCAGCAAAATCAAGGTGCTAAGCAACTCAGTGAGACTCTGTCTCTAAATAAAATACAAAATAGGGCTGGRGATGTGGCTCAGTGGTCAAGTGCCCGAGTTCACTCTCCGGTATTAATAAAAAAAATTTTAAAAAAAAAAAAAGTGAGCAGGATGGTCAAGGGAGGCAAGGAAAGAGGCCCAGGGAGGTAAAAGCTCATTTTGGCTTCAGCTGGAAAGACCCATTCTCCAGATGCCTAAGGAAAGGGAATTGCTTCGGGTTGGCTACCTCAGGGGCAGAGGCAGTGCTGCTGCCAGGCCTTCTGCCTCAGCTGGTGGTCCCCTTCCCCACAGCCYGAAGTAGCAGTTTAGGTTAGACACGTCCTCCTGTTGCTTGTTGCCTTGCTTATTTGGAGCAGAGAAGGTTCATCAAAATGCCCTCACCTTATCGTGGGGTTCARGGTCAACTCCTCCCCCAGGCCAGGAAGGGAGTGGGAATCAAGTTGATAGGATGGGAAGTGCCAGATAAAATTATATAACAAAGATGTCCTTTGTGGGAAACTGGGACGACAGGGACATCACGCAGGGCCAAGGTGTACTTTCTGAGTTGATCAGGATAGGTGGGATCCCATGGTTTGTCCTTCCCCTCAGGACACAGGACATTCAGTGGACTGCAAACCCCCATACAGCCTCCTACTTGCCTTTCTTTCTGCCATTCTGTAGGTTTGCAGATACTATTTCCATTCTAAGGTTTGGGGAAAATAGAAAAGTCAGTGGGGTGGGAAGGGCCTGAGAGGAGAGATGAGTAGAGGAGATAAAATTAATGTTAGAGCCAGATAAAAACTCTGATTTAGATGCTTCCACGGAAGCATGGATTCTTCCTCCTTTACCTTATCTGAAAAGCAGCTCTTACTACCTTGATGAAAATACCCATCAAGTTATTTTTCCTCTCTACTTTGACTTTGTTGTTRTTTGTTTACTCTCAGGAGTAACTGTTGAGCAATTATCATGGAAGCCAAACGGGGAGCTCAGGTCACAGTTTCTTTTCAAATCTGCAGAGACCCGTGGGGTCTCCTTCTCCTCCATCACTGCCTCCTGTTCAGTTACTTTCAACTGTGTGCTGTTTCATGCTCTGGCAACTTTTTTCCCCCTTAACTTTGGTTTGAACCAAAAGGAGGGAAAMCCTGCCTAGAATCAGATTTCTAACCACCAGACTTGAATTTCTCCTTACAAGTTGGTATGAAGAAGACCCACTGTTAAATCTTTAGCCTCCAGAGTCACATGATAGGAGCAGCTTTAAGTTTTCTTCCAGGCAAAATTGGCCACATGGGAGGAAGTGCTATTATTCACAAATCCTAATGACCCCACATTTCTTCTAAATTAGATATCGTAGTCTTGGACGGTTTTCTTCTGATGTACAGGTCGAATTCCAGCCCCCCCCAAACCCCTCATAAGGATGTATATTCAAACACATGTTCTCAAATTTTACTTGTTCTGTTTTAATCTGCCTGTCTTGTAAAGCAAATATCATTGAGAACATGACCATGTGACTCTTTTCTTCCCCAAACTCCATTACCTTCTAGACCATGTTGATTGAGATTAATCTTTCCCATTTTGATTTTTTTTTTTGAGAGAGAGAATTTTTTAATATTTATTTTTTAGTTTTCGGTGGACACAACATCTTTATTTTATTTTTATGTGGTGCTGAGGATGGAATCCAGCACCCGCGCATGCCAGGCAAGCGTGCTACCACTTGAGCCACATCTCCAGCCCAACCCCATTTTGATTTTTAAGGTCTGATTCCTCCTCTCTGCACCATACGTACTCCATGTGGGTTTGTCTCATTTACAAGGAGGTTGGAGGATCAGCTGGCTCATTCTTCCCTGCCTTTCCTCTCCTGATTCTTTATGGCCTCCTGCTCTCTGGATGTATTTGAAATTGATAACCAGATCTTTCAAGGAGCTTTGAGCTGGAGTGCTGTAGGAAGTCCTGTTTCGCTCCAGTGCTGTGGCCTGTGGCCATGAGGAAGGAATGTGTTCCTCTTCACCATGGGCAGCATTGCCTGGTTAGTAAAGAGCACCACTGAAGGTTTTTCCTGTCTCTGAGGTTTGTCTTGGCCCAGTGCCAAGAGGTGAAGATCAGACAGGACCATCCAGTGACCTAGAATGACCCATCTTATCCCTGACAAGACAGAAGTTTAGCTGAATCCTGAGCCCTGAGGAGTCAGTTTCCCTACCTACAACCAGGGGTACCTGTGTGTGTGTGTGTTCCTGCACACGCCTATGTTTGTGTGTGAGCTCATCTGTCATCTTCATGCCAGAGTTTTTAGGTCCCGATGTATTCTTACTAAAAGCCGTTGATTGATAAATGGCTTCTCTCCTCATAAACAAGGTTGAAACTTGTGATTCTTGCTTTCCCAGGGCTTCAGTGACAAGGAGGACATTTGGGCACAGTGGCATTGCAGTGCACACCTGGTATGCGTGTCCAGCATTAATTAAGTCCATTTGGGCTATGGCTATTAGCCAACACCAGTTCTATCTGGACAGAAAGCAGAGTAAGGTAAGTGACCAGGCCTTTCACCAAGCCATGAGCTGGCCTCAAGGCAGCAGTTTAGAGATGGGAATGGATGAGTGGGGGAGGACCGGTGTCCTTGGTCCAAGACTCACACAGGTGTGGACTTGCCTCTCAGGGCTACAGGTGGGAGGAATGAGACTAGTTCTTTAAGACTAAGACAGCACGTTCCATGCAGTTTGGTTAAGAGAGGCCCAGCCACCATCAACTGCTCAAGAGCCACTAGAGCCAGATAGGGCCCTTCTGAGGAATTCTGAACATGCTTTTGGACCTYAGGAGACTCTCCCAGGAACAAGTAGTCCAGCCCTTTTTGGTATTTAAACAGTGACATGTTTTATATTTTGAAGAGTTAAAAAAAAAAAAAAAAGGAACAGTGCTCAACTAATAGACACCATCTAACTGTTTAGAGTAATTGCTGTGAAAAACCCCCGAAGGCTTTTCCAACTGCCAACTCCATTTTTAAAAATGCAAAACTGGAAAAGTGAAAAAAAAAAAAAAAAAAAGCAGCAACAAGTCTGTTTCCCTAAGGTGGACCCAGAGCCTCGGGCTTAGTAAACAGTCCTCTGTCCAGGGAGATTCTCCGCCCCCAACCCAGACTTGCCGCTGTGTTTTCTGGTGGGTGGGAGAATGACGTGTCCTTGGTTCACACACAGCTTCTATCAACACTCTGCTCCCTCATCCTCCATCAGATCTCTGGTACCCTCAGGCAAAGGCCCTGCCAAGATGGGTCCTGCACTTTTCCCAGGATCCAGTGGCTTGGGGTGTTTTACATACAGAGCAAGAACAGCCGCAGCCCCTGGGCAAGTGGGCTCCACTACCCAAGGGGGCTTCTCTCCACTGACTTCTCAGGAGGAGGCAGGACTCTGATCACTGGATTGGGACCTGCTGAGGCTCTTTCTCTTTTGTCTATTTTCACTTATTGTGGGTTTCTGTTTCCTGGGAGAGAAAGTTGGGATTGAGTGGGAGATAAGAGACAGTACAGGAAGAAATGAAGCTACCCCTTCAGTCCTAATTTAGTTTTAAATCAGGGCCTATAGCACAGGCGTGCGCTTGCGCGCGCGTGTGCACACACACACACACACACACTCACACCACCTTTTTTGTTGTTGTTCCTGGRGTCTGAATCCAGAGGCATTTAACCACTGAGCCATAGCCCCAGCCCTTTCTCTGTTTTTTTTTAATTTCTTTTTTTTTTTTAGTTGTAGTTGGACACAATACCTTTATTTTTTATTTATTTTTACATGGTGCTGAGGATCAAACCTAGTGCCTCCCACATGCTAGGCGAGCGCTCTACTGATGAACCACAACCCCAGCCTCTCTTTTTTTTGAGACAGAGTCTCTCTGAGTTTCTGAGGCTGTCCTTGAACTTGTTCAGATCCTCCTGCTTCAGCCTCCCAAGTCGCTGGGATTGCAGGCATGTGCCACTATGTCCAGCTTCACTTTCTCCTTTGTAAACCACTGTTCCCTTTTCTAAACCTTCTTCCTAGTCTTTATTTTTGGATCACTTTCTGGGGTGACTGAGTCAAGGGAGGAGCATTTTTGTAGTGAGGAGTCATGAGCCTTCCAGAGCTCTCCAGGTGTTGACAGGCCTTGACACAGGAATTTGAAGCTCACTTAGATCAAAAGAAACAGGGCCAAAAGGTTTTGACTCATGCTGCACATTGACACGGCCAGYGGATGCCAATGATTTGCTCTCCCGTGGCAAAAGTTGGAGGTCAACACCTTGCAACACCTTCAAACATGGGTACTGTTCAGTCATGGGATGATGAGGAGTAGAGGGTTGGGCAAGTCTCCTGGACCTCACTGCCAGTTTCTTTCGAGGGCAGACCACCCACACACTGGTACTAGAGTTTTGAAAGGGAAAAAGAAATAGCACATTTCACCCAATGGATTGTGCAACATGGCTGTTTGAGGTCCCCTCTCTGTCCTCTTTTTTGCATAGAGTCTCCTGGATGGCTTCAGCAGGTGGCCTCAGTGTGACTRTTCTCAAAGGTGGTCCTACCCTGCACATGGGAAGGCTGCTCAGCAGGTTTCAGGCCAGCCATGATGCAGAGAGTGAGCCTCAGGAAAGAATGGTCACAGATCACTGACTAACAAGGGCAAAACCAAATGCCCACAGCATTAGGAAGAACTTGGCTGGCTTCTCAGTAACCCCGAGGGACAGAAGAAAAAGCCCACACTCCCGGGAGGAATAGAATTTTGTCCCAGAAAGCCTCACAGACTCACAAATGTCCCAAAGCCCTTTCACTTCCCCTTAGGGACAAACTCCTCAAACCCCAGAAACAGGTGAGGGAAAGTTCCCCTATTTGGAAGTGGGAGAACTCTGTTTTTCAGAACCGTGACCTTGAACTGGTCTTTCATCACATGCGCTTTGCTCTCCCCAATTAGAGAACAGAAAAGGAAATTCCTGACCTAAATTAGTAATTGGTCAAATGACACAATGTTGGTGAAATGGCTTCAGGAAGTATGTGCTGTCTCTTGTTAACATCATTATTAAGCTAACATACTATTCTCCTGGCCAATGYGTGTGTCAAGTTTAAATTCTCTAAAAGGTCCCCAAGTTAAATCAGAGGTGATGAAACTCCCCATAGGAATTACAGCACCTTTCATTTCTGGAAGGTCATTCTTTATAGAACAGATCCGTCTCTGGTGGGCAGCACAAGTTCTGAGTGAGTGATGGCCGACAGGCCTTCCAATGAAAAGCTTCAAATATTTCTGGCCAGCCTGTGTGGGCTGGCAGCTGGCAGGGCTTCCCATTCTACTGTATAGGGCCGTGCCAACCATTCCTTTCTCTGAAGTGCTTCAGCAGAGCCCAGGCCTCCCAAGTGATGTTTATCAACTCCAGAGAGACAAGTGTGGTCTAGTGGTTTGAGTCAGCAAGGGGGGGTGGCCAAGATTCTCATGTTCTTTCCTCACACTCGGGTATTTCCTTCTTTAAGGGGCGTCATGAGTGTCTTCTGTCTGTCTGTCTCTCTCTCTCTCTCCCTCCTCTCCTCTTTCTTTTCCTCTGCACCCCCTGTCAGCTTCCCTCCACACATGTGCATAAAGAGACCCTTGCACCTTCTAAGTTAGGGTGGAGGGAGGCTGTACTAGTTGGTTTTCCRTAGCCCATTCAGTATGAGAAGCTAGGCAGTCACTAATAACAACTGGTAACTTCTATATGCTGACCCCAAAGATCAGAAATGTTGTCAGTGAGATCCCAACAACCTCGGCAGCCTGGAGCCAAGGAATGTCTTGTGGACTTGGGAGGAAAATATTTGAAAATATTTGAAACAATTTCATCAAATTGTTTAGATGAAACATCAGACACTTTTTCCTCTGAATTTAGAGCCAGGTCTTCTGGAATTGACCCCCAATGCAAATGTCTTTCCTCCTTACTCTTTTTTTTTTTTTTTCCTTTTTAAAGTCCAGTTTGCTTTCTTTATTTCATCTGGACTCAAAAGCAGAGAGACAACATGGTAGGATAAATTAAATCTTGCTCACAGAAAATCCTCCTTTAAACTGAATAATGTTTATAGGGCAAGATTTTCACATAGAGACTCTTCCAGGTTGGCACAGGGACTTGCCTCGGCAAGGAGAAGATGTCCCCAACAGTGCTCATTTCCTCTTACTTCTCTCTCTCACTAAGACTGTTGGGTCATTGTGATATCTCCATTCCAGAAAGTTTCTAAAGCTTCTAAGAATCTGGTCTCCCTTATAAAGGACAGCTGTTATTCCCTTTCCATATTTTTGTTTTCCAGACTGATGTGTGGCAGGAGCGGAGGGCCTGAGTAGAAAACAGGTTTTACATGTGATTATTGAGATCCCTAAAATGCCAGGTGGAACCATCAGTCTAACCTCATTTAGGAAATTATTTCCAGGCCTTAATTTATATCCTTTTCCTATTGCAGTGGCCTTGACATATACTTTCTAACTTAGCCCTCATCCCACCTCTGTGATGTGGACTCTCAGATTTCCATGTTACAAACAAGAATCTGAGGGTCAGAGAGTTCAAGGGTCAAGGTCCACTAGAGATTAACTGGGAAGCTTTGGGATTCTAACCCTGCTCTCTGTGGCTTCAAGCCCCAGGCCTTTAGTACCAGGCGGCAGTAGTCTAGGTCATCCTGAGTTATTATTACACAACTGGTTAAGTGTGGGCTCCTTTTTATTAAAACGTGGGTCTTGATAATAGAGTAGTGCAGAAAGAAAGGAAGTCATGGGTTGTGCTCCCTATGCTCGCTTGAGGATAAAGCACTACCAGATGGGTGCTGCTGATAGGCCAAGCCAAGGCCTTTCCTGCTTTCTGCTGCAAGCCAAAACCCTGCGAAGGCTGGCAGCTGGGATTGTTTTATGAATAAGGGGACCCTAACCTGAGGATGCTGACCTGGTTCTAAACGCAAGGCAAAAAGTCTAAGTTAGAAAGAAGACTTAAGTCTAGGTTGAGGAAGGACCAGTGGGGAGAGAGAAAAGGAAGACCGGTTCACACCAGGTGAACAAAACAAGCAAAAGCCTCAAGAGTTTCCTCTGGCTCATAGASGTTTGTCTTGCTAACAGGAGGAAAGTGCCTGAGGCCGGAAGTTGTGGTCATTCACCAGTGTGGACAAACACTGAGGCCAAAGGAAGGACATGGCCTCAGAGTCCCAGACTACTTTTCCAGGACAAATGCAGGCCCCTGGGCCCAGACAGCCTTCCTAAAATCAATCACTTTTAGGGATGCAACTGTGAATACAGAATCTTTTTCTAATTACTCTCACTTACTGTGTCCTTTAGCCAAATAGGGCTAATGAACAGGTGGATTGAGTGAAGTTTGAGCTCTAATATGAAGACTCCAGAACTTATATGTAGGTATCAAAATAGAAGCCAGCATGTGCCAGAAGTTTTGAGTAGTGCCCAAGTGTCTCCATGAACAGTTGTTCCAGAGGCTTCTCACCACGCACACTGAGGTTGCAGGAATAGGGCACTGACCTTCAGGCAAACTTTCCAAGGTCACATGGATGAGAATTGAAGAGGTCTTCATAATTGCATAATTTATGGGTATTTCTTGAATTTGTTTCACCTGTCTCATGTCATTTAGAAAGCTGAAAATTATTTTTTCCTCCATGTTTAAGTTCAACATAGTCATAGTCACTACTTTTTATTGATTGCTGTGTCAGGCAGAGAGAAAGGGGGAGGAGGGGAAGGGAGGAGAGGGGAGGGTCGCCTCACCTCCTTGTGTGGTAGTTTATAGTTGGGAATAATGAGGCTCATGAGATTAAGTAATTTTCCCCACATCCAGACTTCAGGTCAGCCTACAGGATCCTGGCCTGCGACATTCCATCATTTGTGTAGCTCTCAGCCTCCTCTGCTCCTTCACACAGTGTTGGTGATTAGTGATAGGGCTGAGGGATCCAAACCTCAAGAGGCTGCAGATCCTGGGATGAGTCACTTTGCTAAATTTCAGGACACCGAGTAGGCGAGTGACTTCGGTCCCCTCTTTGAGAGGAATGACCTTCCGTGACCCGCTTATCCTTCTGTTCCAGTCCAAGATCCATGCGGCACGAAGTCTGAGCGAGATTGCCATTGACCTGACCGAGACTGGGACGCTGAAGACCTCAAAGTTGGCCAACATGGGGAGCAAGGGGAAGATTATCAGCGGCAGCAGCGGGAGTCTACTGTCCTCAGGTAAGGCTGGCCTGCAAAGAACCTTCTGGAGAGTGTGAGAGAAGGCCTCCCTGTCATGGGTCTCGACCCTTGGGTAGGCTCTGAGAAGCCCGGRATCAGCCATGACACAGCAGGCCACCTGGCATGCTCAACAGAAGCTGGCTTTGTGCCCCACCAAGGTTGGGTCCAAATGGGAATCTGAAGAAAATGCCCCAAAGCATCCAAGGTGGTGGAGGGAGAACCACTGTATCCACATCTATGTAGGACAAACTGCTGGTCACACTCAGGTCTCTTCAAGAATCTCCAGAGCCTTTCAAAATACTGACTGTCCTGATGGTCCAGTCAACCTTCAGGAATATCAACTGCCAGGACAGAAAGTGAAGTTTGCTCTGCGTCTTCAAGGGAGGAATGCACACTGAGGAGAGGTGGAGGCCAGGGTCATGGTGCTGAGACACACACTCTCTTCCCAAGGCGCCTCCTCCAGTCTTTAAAAGGTGTAGGTTACTCTAGCTCAGGTAGGTAAGGAGAAGCTGGCCACCACCACCAGCCTTGACAGAAAGATAAGCACCTGTCCTCTCCAAAGGTCAGGAGACCTGGTTCTCCTTTTTCTGGGAGCCTTGGGCCGATTGTTTTGTCATTAAATGTTGAGGGGACAGAAGAGCTCTGAACTCCCAGATCAGGCTGACTTCAAGAGCAGGGTGCCCTCTGCTGAAAGGACAGGAAGAAGTTGAGTTAGAGGAGGGCAGAGAGAGAAGAGGGCAGTGGTTACTTGGAAATGTGAGAGAAGTGACTAACGAAGGTTACTCCCAAGGCCACATGGTTAAAACCTGATTGATCTGGGGAGTCAGGAAAATAAAGCAAGATGTTTTCATCCTACCTCATCTTCCAGGGTCATTCTATAACTATAGATAGTGACTGCAACGCACATTAGAAAAGGAAAAGATGGGAGAGGAAGGGGAGCTAAAAGCTGTCCAGTTAGCTTCTGGACTGGTGTTGTCCAATCAGAGCTGGGAAAAAAGTTTAAAACTGAAGAACCAGGGAGAGGATGCACGCCCTTCCTGTACAGAGAGGCGGCTTTACTGTGCAGCTGCGGGAGCAATAAACCCAGGGCTTCTGGGTGGACGGGTTGAGGCCCAGGCAGGGCCCTGACGGTATGTTCACATGCTAGTATGTTTTGTAAAATCTACTACGTTTCTGTATTGTCTTAAACAGAGCTACCTAAACAGAGCTACCAGTATTGCATAAGCTTTAGGCCCTATGAAACCTGGATCTGTGCCTGCCTGACCATCTCAGGGTTCACACTAACCTTTTCCCTCCCTGGGAGCCTTCAGAATGGTTTCATGCAAAAGATGTGTCAAATGGTCATTGTTTCTGAGACTTAGAAGTTTGTAAGGAAGGTCCTTAGGGAACATTGTCTTCTTTTATCAGAGAGAAGGCTATTCAACCTAAGCCCCCTGCCTGGAATTAAAGCCACACCCAGGCTCCCGCTGAAAGGCAAAGGGTGGAACCAAAGCCCACACTTTGTCTTTTAGACACAGCGTACAATAGTTTTAACCCTGTTAAAACCTACAGTCTCAGATCAGAACCTGGGTTTGTCAGCTCACCTGCCTCCTTATCTAGTCATAGGGAACCCAGCCCTGATCCAGCCTGGATTCTTCCAGCTCCGTGGTTCTTAGGCAAACATCAGAACCACATCAGAGGAGGTATGGAAACAGACTGCCAGGCCTCTCTCCAGAGCCTCTGCAGGTCTGGGTAAGACTTAAGTTGAGTGTCTCTCCAACAAATTGCCTGGTGATGCCGATGCTGCTGGTCCAGGATCGAAACTTTGAGGGCCACTCTTCTTGCTGAAGAAGAGATAAAGAGCTGGGGGTGAGCGTGCTGCTTGTTCCACATCCCCCCACTTGCAGCCTGTGTGTCCTGGTCCATCTGCCTGAGCCCCTCATATCTATCGGGCAACCTCCAGAGGCACCAAGCAACACCTGCTAGCAGCTCTCCATGAGGTTGTGCCAAAAGCTCCACATCCTAAGATGAAGCTGACATTACAGAACCACCAGGAATAAAATCTAAGCACCAGGCAATAAATCTCTATTACTGCCATCAGGTTGCCATTTATAATCAATTCCGTGGGATTGAAAAGAAGTTACAAAAACATCTCCCTGCCAAATCCACTCCTACACCTAATACATAAGCATGTTTCTCCCAAGATATTAAAGTGAGTTTCAAATGTTTAATATTATAGTGGAGGGGCCCCACGCGAGGACATTTAGGAGTGGACAGCAGGTTAGCTCTGGTCTGCCTTTCACCCCCGTCCCCTTTCTGATGCTGCCCAGCAAAGCAAGAAGAAACACCAGGTGAGGAGAAGGCCCCATTAGGCCAGGGAGCATGTCAGCCTCTTCTCAGCACTGCAAGTTCAAGCCTGAAAACCTGTCCTTTAATGCCAAGGCTCCATGGGGATGCCCCACACCCACCACCACCTCCATGACTTAAGAGAAACACTTGGGACAATGCAGGGAGGGACCACAAACAGGAAGCAGTCCATCCACTCACAAAGGGGATTTCTCCATCCTGTCCTCCCTCACGCTGTGGCTGCTGCCAGCTCCTGCAGCCCCTCCTGCTTTCCTTGCTGGGAGGAGGAAGCCTGCCCTGTGGAGAGCCTTTGGCAGTCCCATCTGGAAGGGACCAACTTCAGGTCCCCCACAGTGAGGAAATCCAGTCCCTGGCCTGAGAATCCAGGAGGCTGGCTGGGCTCCTGCCCCTCCCTGGCTTTCTGTCCCGTCTGTCCTCTGGCCCACAATGTGCTCCCACAGACAGGACAGCCTCACATGCTTTCCCTGGAAGGATAGCCCTGATTTTTAGTACTCGCCTGACCTCCCTTTGCTTCCTTCAGGAAATTACACACAGACTATCCAGTATCCAAACTCATAAACTGTCCCTTCTCCTTCCCCTCCTAATTAAATGRTGTCTAATAATTGTTCCATAAAAGCAGGTTGAGAACCTAGTCACCATTTGAAACTCCTCTTTCCTAGCCCACCCTAGGGAGCAACTGCCAGGAGGTGCTCAAGATACAGTTCTTGGGGCTGGGGTGGTGGCTCAGCGGTAGAGCACTTGCCTAGCATGTGTGAGGCCCTGGGTTCGATCCTCAGCACCACATAAAAATAAATAAAATAAAGATATTGTACCCAGCTAAAAAATAAATATTAAAAAGAAAAAGATACAGTTCTTGAAATGAGATGTTGGAGACCATTGAGAGTCCTGTGGCTGTGTGTGCTAAGAGTCTCCATGTGCCCAGAGGGCATGGTGTCTGCCTTGCTGAGGGCTGTTCTATGACCTGCCACCATCATTCTCTCTCCCCTCTGCCTTGGGCCTTTGCCAGAGGCTCTTAGACCTCTCAGGTTTGCTCTGGTCAGATCAGGCTCCTGTTGCAGTAGCACCCACCCACCCTTGTCCTCTTCTGTGCATCCCTTTCCTTTACCAGACCATGAGTAACTAACAGAGCCAGGGAATAACCTTGTAAGATTTCTATGGTATAAACATTTTTCTCCAGCTCCCAACTATGCTAGGTATTGTACACAGCATTTAAAAAGTTGCAAGCCCTCCCTGCCAAGGAGTGTACATACTGCTGATGGATGCAAAACAGAGAACGTATTTCCATACTACTAGAAATGTGAAAAGCGATCTTCCTATTTAAAGATATGTAATTACCTTTAAAATTCCTGGGAAGTCCAGTCCTTGGTGTCTGAGGCCTCACATGCTACAGAAATGAAGAAATATCATTGCTATCATGTATTTACTTATTTTTATTCATTCTACTGTCTTTCCTATTTCTATCCCTCCTTCCTTCCTTTCATTACTCATTGTCTACTCCAATGAACTTCTGTTCTTCCTCTTTTCCCCACTTATTGTGTGTCAGCATCCACATATCAGAAAGATCATTTGGTCTTGGTTTTGGCGACTGGCTTATTTCACTTAGCATGAGAGTCTTCAGCCCATTCGTTTACTGGCAAAAGTCATAAAGCCATTCTTTTTTATGACTAAGTAATATTCTATTGTGTATATATACACCATATTTTCTTTATCCATTCATCTGTTGAAGGGAACCTAGGTTGGTTCCACATCTTAACTATTGTGAATTGAACTGCTTTAAACATTGATGTAGCCATGTCACTATAGTATGCTGATTTTAAGTCCTTTGGGTATATACTGAGGAGTGGGATAACTGGGTCAAATGRTGGTTCCATTCCAGGTTTTCTGAGGAATCTCTGCACTGCTTTCCAGAGTAGTTGCACCCATTTTCAGTATAAGCAGCAATATATGAGTGTATGTTTTCCCCCACATCCTTACCAAAATTTATTGTTACTTGTATTCATGATAATTGCTTTTCTGACCGGAGATGGAATCTCAGTATAGCTTTAATTTGCATTTCTATAATTGCTAGATATATTGAAAATGTTTTCCCTATGTTTGTTGACCCCTTGTATTTCTTCTTCTGTGCTGTGCCTGTTTGGTTCCTTTGCCCATTAATGATGGGATTACTTGTTGTTTTTTGTTTTGGTTTGGTTTAGTTTGATTCGATGTTAAGTTTTTTGAGCTCTTTATATATCCTGGAGATCAATGCTTTATCTGAGATGCAGGTAGCAAAGATTTTTTTTCAGATTCTTTGGCTTTTTCCTTCACATTTTTGGTTATTTCCTTTGCTGTGAAGAAGCTTTTTAGTTTGATACCATCATTGCTATCTTGAACCCTGAACCATGGGCTAGCAATTTCAAAAAGAAAATGTCAACATAGTTGAATGATTAATGAAGTTTGGGGCTGGGACACGCCGAGTCCTGTGGTTGTAGATGTAGGGCTCTCCTGTGGGATGGATCCCTGCAGGCCTGTGTCCCAGCAGAGGGCCACAGGGGTMGTAATCCAACTGAGTCTCAGCTATGAGCCTGTGATGGGATTGATGCACTTGTGTAGGGCTCAGTAAATCTGCCTGTTGACACCGGGAAGGGGAGAAAGCAGGGGGCAGAGCCTAGATA